TCAGAAGAGCCCTCTACAAACCTGTTGGACTCTTTGGGCCTCTGCTCATACCGGGATACTGTTTCTTGATATATGGATGATTATCGTGGTGACAGGTAAATACATGATGTATACATCCACTAATTAAATTGAATTGGTCTAATTTAGAGGGACCATTTAAATCTTTTTTTTTTTTTTTTTCCTGCTCTTCCCCCCATCAGGCTTGCTCTCTCTTGTTATAAACCGCTGCTTGTCTGTTCTAACCGGCCTTTATCAGTGTTTTACCTTCAATTGGTACACATAGTTGGCCAGTTTACCTAATTTCCCAATAAACAGTCTATCGGTGAAAGAGCTTTTGGCATGTGAACAGCATACATTGCAAAAGATGCTGTAGGAGGAAGAGTAGTATGTATGAGTGTTACCACAGTACAGCTTAGGTCAGGTGGTCACATTGCTGTATCTGAGGGGAATTTTGCACCAAAATAAACTTTGAAGCTGAGTAAAGCAAAGGGGATTTTCCCATGGTAGACCAAACAGAACGTGCTGTGCAGGGAAATGAGGAAATCCAGTCTCATGGTTTTCAGCATCACTGATTTTGAAAGGGTTAACTACCTGCCAGTAACTGCATCTTATTAATGTAATGCATATTGGCATTTCCTTTGCATATCTCTATTACAGAATTTGATGAAACAGCTTTTGTTTGTTCACACTTGTCTCTCTTAAAATTTGTATATCATCAGTAAATGTTATTTTTTCTGCAACAGCTTGCACTTTCTTCTCTATGCAGACAGAAGTCAAGTCATCCTATTGCTTTAGATTATCGTTTTCAGCTTGATTAAAAAAGTAAATATGTAGAGTTTTACTGCTCCCGACAACAAGGCTTGTAACCAGTTTACATGCTGAGATTTGTCAGTTTCTTTGCCTGTAGAAGTTGATCACGACAGGAATGCAGGGGTTTGCATGGACCTACAACATAATATTAAGCCCTTAATACAATTTTGAACACGTTTTGTGGAGGTAGGAAAAAGCAGCTGACGGTGTGAGTCCAAGGTAACACATGGAGTACCCTTCACTGTTTCCAAAGGGAAGGAAATTCTCCACTTTTCAATGTTTCAAAGACTTCTGGTGCCCAATGGTGGCAATTATGTTCTCAGGATGGGGTGTGTCTAGACTGTGCACTTTTAAGCCTTTTATTTAGCTGAGAGATGGAGTTTCCTAAATGGTTGGTGGGATTCAAAAAGACCTCAACGTTCACAGGGAGAGAGGAACTTGCTGTAGCTCTTTTGGGTCCCAAGCTGCCAAACATATAAATATGGATAAGCACAGCCCATTGACTGCAGGGGAATTTCAAATTAAGTACTTTCAGAGTTGGGATTTTAAGCAGTTTCTGTGTTAAGCTACAGTGTAGGAGAGAATATACAGTGAGCTTCCTCAAGTCAATGCAGAAAATCAGATATAATTGGTTAATATTATAACTTGAAGTATAGTCAAGATTTTTGTAGTAACAGAATACAAGAAAAACTCTAAATTTAGAAAAAGGTAATAATTAATCCTGTTGTGTTACAAGGAAATAGTCACTGCATTTTTTTCTGCCAGCATTTGTTTCCTACTAACCACATCATGTTTAGGAACGACCTGTTGTATTTTTTTCCAGCATGTCTTTTAAGGGTAGCAGTGAGAAAGCCTTGCAGGGAGGTTGTTATGCAATTATCACTGTATATTTTTCTGCTTGTAAGCCTCAATTCCGCTCTGATTTTTCTGTGTTTTTGTTTAAATCCTTGAAAAGATGTCATTCTCTCACTGAATGTGTTTTGCCTCCTAAACACAAGCTGTAAATACATACACAGATAATATTATGTGATTCTTCGAGTCAGCTGCTTGCACTTCTCCTGTTTTCTATCCTAGGCAACTTTAGAAAATTATTATCAAACCTCAGAAACTCAGACATAAAAGCTCCTTGACTGGTCTTTGCCATGGAAATTGCAAGTTTTAACATGTAAGTGTATATGTAAAGGAAAAATCCCAGAGGTAACAGACAAGTAGAATTTTGCAGGGTTGTTATAGACACAGTGACATCTGTTTTTTATTGCAGTTAAGGATTCCTAATATTATGTGCCATTTTGTGTTACATAACCATTTATTGTTAATCTGCATCTCCTATTACAAATCAGTTTTCAATGCTTTTTTCCCTCCCAATCATATCTTGAGACAGTATGTGGGTATGTATTTATGCCTACTAAAATAAAAATAAAGGTGTTCCTCTGTATTAAGAATTTTTGAAGTACTTGGAGATGGATGCTGTGTTCTCCATGAAGTAACTGTTGTCCTAATCATTACCAGGAATTGAACCTGGAACTACCAGAGCTAGAGGATAGCTTGACAATTTGAGCTCAAAAAGGCTAAATCCTCTGGCTAGCAGTTGTAGGAGAGTCATGCCTTTTGTGGCTCTGGCAGAAGTTACTAGTTGGAGAGGGAATTATGCTTGTGCAACTCAAAATTGTCAGTGAAATCCAAGGGAATTTGGGGGTTTGCAGGGAATGCAATATTGGGCTCTTCCAGGAGCTTCCCAGTAAGCATGAAAGAGGTTGGGTTTTTTTTTTGTATGTGTGTGTGTGTGTGTGATGGGTAGTGAGAAATCCTAACGTCTGACATCGTTCTGGCTAAGTGCATTCTTCAGTTTTCCATTAGTGGTGGTGGAGTCCATCAGTGAATCCTTTCAGAAGTAACCAGCTGGTATTTCCTAAACCCTTGTCTGTGTATCATGTAAAGCTCAGTGTTACCACTCTAAAGAAAGACCTTGAAAAGTTAAATGCCATTTGAATTTAGTAATGTAGGCCACAGTGTAAACTGTGGTTAAGTTGAGCTGAGGCCTGCTTTAGAGAAAGAACCTGTAATTGATTAAACCCTGCCTCTAGCTAGATAAAAAAGTTTGAAGTAGATTAATATAAAAACAGTTAAAAGCTTCCTCGTTGTTGTCAGTTTTCAAAATGAAACTTGTCAAGAGTTTGGCAGAAAGAGCTCAAAGGCAGATCTGATTCTAAACTGAGAAAAACAAACCCAAAGGAGCAAACAGCAGTATGGACCTTCTTATGTTTGGTTGACTTCAATGAATTTTCTCTGTGAAGGCTGTGACTGTATGGCCTTCAGTTTACCTGCCAAGCTATTTTTCTCCAGACTACAGTCCTTCATGAGTTGTGTCTCATAGCTTTGTCTAGCACAGAAATTTCTTCTGTGCTGCTTGGCCTATCTTCTCATGGCCTTCATGAATCTTCCCTGACATTTACTGTGTGTAATTATTATGAGAACATAAACCAAGGGCAAAACTCAAAAGATAGTCTTGGATTCGGTAAGAAACTGTCTGAGAGAGAATTGAAATGGAGACAGCACAGCCTAACAGCTAGAATGATGTCAGACTTTTTGCTGGAATCTGCTTCCATCTGTAACTTTGGATGGCACGTGACCTCTTTGTGCCACACAAACAGTTGGCCTGCTGCAGACACAGCCACGGTTTGGTGGCAAGGTGGTGCAACTTGCTGAAATTGATTTGGACGTAAATTCTGTAGTCCCAACAATGAGTGAAAAGTGAGATCCATTAACCATCTCCAACAAATGCTACTGAAGCGTTTATCAAAAAAACAATGTTGTTTTTACTTAGTGTCACACTGGAAAGTCATTTTAGAACATGTTTGGGCTTTGACACCCTTTCTTAATGTTTTTTTTCCCATATCCTTTTGTATATACAACTAGGTCACGTTAGTGACCACAGGCATGAGTCTCCATTCCTTTGCACTAGTTTTATGCCAGAGTAACCCCACTGGTTTTCACAATGTAAAAGACTGATGAAATGTGGTGAAAAATTGATCCCATACATATTTCAATCTCTGAGTGACTTAATATTTCGTGCTAAAACATTTTCAACCTTTAAAAACAACACTTCTATCAGTCATGTTACAGTTTTAAAGTTTGCTGTCTCACGACTTGCCAGAACTTCAGCAAATGCTGGGAAGCGAGCATGTGGTTAATCATGACAAATTATGGGATATTTGTTCCTTAAGTTTGACAATCCTGTGGGAGGGTCAGCTAGTGCTCTTGTATATTGACCTCAGTGTTGAAACATGTACCTTTTCCCCCAATCTCTATTTTAGGGTAAAATAATAGAATAATTTCCCTAGATGTAGGCTATTTTTTCCTTCTAAATGGTAGCAGTTTGAAATCTGTGTGAGATTTGCAATGTTATGGATTAAGAGATAAGTTAACAGAGACCTTGAGAAAGTAAACAAGGCATAAGTTAGATGCAGGATGTTTCATTGGTCTATAGGGTCTTCCATGGCTACAGAAGTAAAACTTAAGTCTGTTGTTTCAACAACATACATATTGTAAATATATATGTTTCTATTATTACATACATATATATATATATAGTCCCACTAACTAATCTACTGCTCTATTTGCAATGTGAAGGAAGCATTGTGGTGTCTTTAAATATGTGAAGCTAACGAGCCTGTTCCTGTTAAAATTAGTTGCAAAGCTCTAGCTGATATCAACAGGAGCAATCTCATTATTCTTGATGATCATAAGCTGATAATCATGACAACCAACTTGGGAAACAGAGACGAACTATAGTCTCAAAGGACAGATCATTGAGGAGGTACAGGTGCGTAAAGGGATGCAGGAACATGTTGTGCTTGAGACTTTGTTACACCACAGATTTCCTGCATGGCTTTTAGACTAGTTAATATGGTTCCCTTCTGAATCTGTAAACTGGGCATAGCAGCACATCCTTAACATTAAAAGGAGTGATATACTCAGATAGTGATCTGTGGCACATTCTGTGGTTGGAAGAGATTGCTCGTAAGACTCAGGCATAAGCTCAGTCTGAAACAGTTGGGTAAATAGTACTAGTAGTTAATTAATTATTAATTAGTTCAGTTAATTAGTAACTGCTGGAGTAACAGCTGTTGCTCCTGTTTGTTGTGTAAGAGAGTTGTGACCCTTGGTCTCATGTGGTGCTCGTAATGGCATCACAGTAGAGCAGCAAAGTAACGGTGCCGCAAGACAATTACTGCCTCTTTTCTTACAGATATATTCACATTGCTGCAGATTAATGAGGTAATATGTGTCAAGTCCCTTCCAGCTTGAGATATTCTACGATTTTACAGGTGAAAAAGGGGGCCTGCATGAAAGATGGGGAGAAATGTTTTAGCAGGGCCAAGGGGTAAGGGCTTTAAACTAAAAGAGGGAAGATTTACATTAGATATAAGGAATAGGGGTGGTGAAACACTGGAACAGGTTGCCTGGATGTATATGCCCTGGAAACATTCAAGGTCAGGTTGGACGGGGCTCTGAGCAACCTGCTCTATTTGAAGATGTCCCTGCTTGCTGCAGGGGGCTTGGACTAGATGACCTTTAAAGGTCCCTTCCAGCCCACACTATTCTGTGATTCTATGAAATGCAGTAAGTGTGTACACATTTAGGCTGTGGGATATTTAAGGCAATGAAACTTGATTTAGCCTGTAACAAAAATAATTATGTTAAACTACTTTGTCTTGCGCTAGTTAAGGGCTGAGGATGTACAAAGACTGCTTGGTTCAGCTGACATGTGGTAACTTGTTAAACCTTGGTAATTCAATCTGAGCTCATATAAAGGTTTAGATAAGAAATTGTGGTTGTTTCTTCTGGTATCAACATGAAAACAAGTCTGGCAATATAAAGGTCTCAAGAAGATTTATACTGGTTAACAGAATTCCTCTCTCCTTTTCTCCCTTCCACTTTTTACCAACTGAAACTGGCTGAAGAACAAAATCTCTGTTTCATAGGAAATCTTGTTTTCTTATTTTTTTTTTTTTTTTTTTTTTTGTGGGGGGTTTTGGTCCAAATTGATCTGGGAAATATGAAGAACTTTTTCTGCCAACGAGAAATTTTGAGATAATTTCATTCTGGAAACAACAAACATTTTCTTTCCAATATAAATGTGCTCCCTGGTCCCTGCAGCTTTTCAGTGAAAATGGTATTTGACAGGTGACTATCATCTGCGTAGAGCAGTTGTGGGGCTATACAGGATTGGTGGTGCTTTGGTAGCCCTGCTCTGTGGAAGTCTTCTGCCTGTTGTTGAGGTCTGCTGAAGAGCTTCCAAGCTCTCAGTTGGCATTTACTGGTTGGTGATCGGAAATGCTGGAAATTCCTGGGATTTCCATGTTTTCTATGCCTTTAGTGGGAAGTTACTCCTTTTAAGGTTTGGGGTTTCCAGGACTTCCAGCTTATTGGTTAAAACTGTGGAAACTTGGTGTTTTCCTGCTTTGGGACAGTCTGTTGAACAGATCTGCCTCCTGACTCCTCACTAAACTCACCTTTATTTCAAGGGAGCCATTTGACACCTTGTTCTCCAGCGTCAGGGTGGTGGTCTGTGCTGCAGGATGTAGAAAGAAGGGCCTTCTGTCTGAATATTTAAGCTGTCTCCTCTTGCCGGAGACGTGCCTACCTTGCTTTGAGCTAGCTCGCTGGGCTACGGGTAGCAATCCAGCTGTGGAAGCGTGGAATTTAGTGTGGGCTAATTCCTGTATGCAGTTTACCCAGCTTCTTTGGGTGCGTCCTGCTAGACCACAATGGAAACTACCCACGCAGCTTCAAACAGCTAATGGAGCGGCCTCGCACCCACCACACCCAGCGTCTGGAAGATTCTGGCCCATCTTGGAGAGTAACACTATGCAGAGTTACAGCATCTGGCTTTGGCAAGTCTGCAGGCACAGCCTTTGAAACAAAAACAAAACCATGCATCCTCACCACTGTTTCTTCCCTTATTTACATGACTGAATGCTGCAACGCGCACATTATGGGTAGGAGCAGGAAGAATGCATCCCACCAGTGATTGTGAAGGAGCTGTAGTGGCTCAGCACCCTGCAGGATCTGCTGCTTGAGCTGATCCACAGCTTTTTCTAGCCACACCAAGGGTTTCACACATCTTAAGCAGAGTTGTTGCTTGCAGTGTGAAAGCTACCTAAAAGGTGTCAGATTTGGCCTTCATGATTGAAGGAATTTTCTGAGACATTTTTACAGGCAGATTGCAAGTGCACCAGTCCTTGAACTCTGAATATCCATACATTTCACCAGAGATGCAGCTCCTTTCCTTGTCCTTTTCATACACGAGTGACACGTATCTCTTGTGATTGACGTGCAAACAGAGAAAAAAATGATTTCTTGCAATCCTGCTTGTGTTGCTGCGGCTATACTTCTCATGCTGAGGAACCGAGCACCTTCAACTCCTTTTATTGCCCCCCATGACTTGCACTTCACCGATCTTGGTCTATGGATGTCTGGAGATGGCAGGAGATAGCAAATATTTTAGATGAAAGATGATAGAAGAAAGCAGGAATTGTTTTCAGTCTTTGTTGGCATACCAATTCTCCATTTCAAGCACTGGCAGAAAGCCTTACTCTGGGAGTGTTAACAACGAATGTGTCTGATCTTTCATGGTTTAAGTGATTTCTGCATGAATGCATTGTGTTATCCTTGTGCAAGCACCTGTGCCTGTGAACAGATTTGAGCCCATAGACTGTTTTGGCTCTTCAGTTCGTCTTTGAAGATGTCTGCCAACCTTAGACTTCCACAGCAGGAATCTTGCGTAAGACCACATGTGCAACAAAATCATCCCATGTAGCATTTAAAACCCATTGTTTTTTCCATTAGTTAAGAGGAAACACAGTTAGACTAGTTTCTTGCCGAATGTGTTTTTTATGGCCTTCTCGCAGCTTTGATGATCTTGTGGGAGCATGTAATCATACATTATTAAAAGGAAATCCAAGCTACTCAAAGCTAAACACATCAGCTATCTTATTAAGGGGAAAAAATGTATGTTGATGCATTAGTAGGATTAAATCCCTGCAAGACGTCATAACCTTCTGTTGTGACTGCATATAGGGAACCTGATAATCTTAGTTGACCCTGTCATGAGGGAGAAGAAAGCTATTTTTATGCATACATTTTATTACAAAATGAAAGAAGGCACTCTAGGCATAAAGTGGAGCAAGAGAGGGTGTGTAAACACATATGTACATACTCATGTATACATTCTTTTGGTACATGCGTATTTCCTTCCAGATGCAGTTAGAGTCCTGGCTGCTGTGAGGGTTTGGCAGCTTTCTTGTGCAGTGTGGGTGTTTATCATTCTACTGTGATTGTTCACATTGTGATGAGTTTCCTCTTGGGTGCAATTTTCAGGCACATGTTCCTGTCAACCAAGGTCAATGCTGAGCCAGAGAAGCAGTGCACAGGTGGTATGTCAGAGTTAGCCTCTTTCTTTTGGCTGCAGACAGTGGCACTTCTTAATTTAACTTATGATTAAAGCATTGCCCTGTTATAATACCAAAAATATTAAGAGTCTTTCTGCCTGGATTTCAGAGAAATGGTTCTTTAAATAAACAAGGGAAAAAATGAGTGAATGCATAAAAATAGACTCTCAGGATTTAACCAAAAGCCTCTTGAAGTTGATGGAAAGACTTCTTGGATTTCAGCAGGCTGTGCTTCAAGCCCTTAATGCATGCTCTTCATTAGGCAGGAGGTGGCTTCTTACTTTACTCTCAGAAGGTATAGGGCTGGTGGTGGTGGAGAAAGCTCAGGGTGATGGGAGAGTTCATGGCAAAGAATGATTTTTCTGCTTGGGCGGCAACTGGGTTCTAAACAAAAAAGCCCTAAGGGGAGAAATGCATCAGGGTCATTACAACTGTCATTTGGCAGTTACTAACACGTATTCTTGAAAGAAACTGTTAACACAATTTTGCTGTTTCTTGCCAAACAGCAAGGGCAAGCTGGCTACAGTTTGGAGCGAGAGTTGGACTGCAAGCTTTAGAAATCCTCCCTAGGATCAGCTGATCAAAAAATATGGGAAACTGAACATGATTAACACTCCTACCTGCAGAATTCCATGCTCATCCATTCACAGACACATGCTGTGTTTCTGTCAAACTTTAGATGTGTAGTAGACATTATGGAAAGTTACACCAGTTTTTTTTTCCTATCCTTGAATGACAGTAATAAGAACCTATGATGAGGCAATACTTTAAGATCAAGGAGGTTGATATTAATTGACTTGGAAGAAATTTATTCAGCCATTTAGACTCTATAATGACTTTGATGCCACTAGGAGTGGATAAAAGCCAGATTTCAGCCTTGTTGGCCAGATTTATCCTGTTAGCGCAGCACCTCCTATCCAGAGTAAAGGAGGAGTTGCTTATTCCTCCCACGACCTTAATGTTTCTCTGTTTGTCCTGTTTAGCCTGGAACAAACAAGTCAGAACTTGCCTCTCACTGTGTCTAAATTGCCAACATCCATGACCTATGAGAAATTCAAGGCCTGAGAAGGGACACTAGTCCCAAGGGTTTATCACAACTCAGGGTTCCCTATGTCTCCAGTACTGCCACTGTGCTATGGCTCCATCAGCCCTTTTAGGAGGGCTGGTAGTAAAGTAATGGTAGCCTGGAGTTCAAAATCAGCAATAAAACCTGAAAAAGGGACAAACTATGTCTGTGGTGGCAGGGGTAATTATAATGTTGTACTGAAGCTGGACAAAGAAGGATATATAAAATGTGGGCTGGAATCCAACTCACTTTTTTTTTCCATTGCTGTCTTGGTTCACTTGGGCAGTTTATCTGTGATTCTGTATTACTAGGTTATGTAAACTAAATATTGCTCAAATGCTTGACTTCAGCAAGTTCAACACAATCTAGTCCAGCCAATACAGTAAGCAAACTCCCTGGAAGCTTATAGAAGATTTTTCTTATTGCTCTGAAACACTTGTTTTGTTGAGATGAAGTTGGTACTTTTTAATGTGCTTTTGAGTTTGTTTGGAGCACTTGACCGTGCCAAGCCCTGCAAAACTGGACGAAATGTAATTCAGGAACTGTATAGTATAGAATTTCTTGTATGTGCTGTGAATGTTGGCACAGATGGAAACTGGATTAGGTGAACCATGCTGATCTCTCAGAGTATTTCGTATGTTTCTTTCTTGCACACACAAAGAAAAATATCCTGAACTCATTTACTTGATGTCATTCTGGAATAAATCCACTGTAGTCAATGATGTTAAACTACTAAACCACGCTACTGATATGGTTACGTTTTATTACCTGCTTTGTGCAAACCATGGATAATACAGAGCGCACTGGG